CTGACGTACCCGAGTTCTAAACTTTCAATAATGTATTCTACGTGCATAATATCAATTTATATCTGTTAAACAAGTATAGGTATTTAATAATGTTGGCAGTTCGTAAGCACCTACATTACAGTACACAAATGTTTCGTTGCGCTATCGTTTAATCGCAACAGTTAAACTGTAAAACAGTGCACGAATAAGTGCTAGAAATATTTATAACGAGCAAAATAATTTAAACACAATAAATATTGTACCGCATTTCACACGGAATAAAATATCGTCTGCCGTTTGCCTACACTATTTTGTCGCCGTTTCCGCTTCATATTATTATCATTTAAGGCGTCTCCGCGTTATACGGTACGGCCGACGGGTGACGCGGTGTGTTTGGGCGCCGTCGGTGGCGTACGCGGGAGAGTTGAGCGCTAACAGGCCGGAGCTCCCCGCCTCCCCACTCCCCCGCCGCTGTTATCCGTATTATTATTATTATTATTTTATTTGTACGGTTTTCAAGTTTCGACCGTCTCGAACTAGCGCGAGCAACAACGCAGAGTTGTGCTGCGTGGCGTGCGGCGGCGCGACGTGGACGGTAAACCGCAATCGGCCGTCGGTACGCTGCATTGTCCGTTGTACATAAATCCTACGTACGCCGCCCCGCGGGGCGCCGCGAAACGGTCCGCTCTCTCGGTGTTGCCGTTGTTCCCGGACGGCCGTCGGGAGACGCGACCGCGCGCGCGGGTTTCGGCGACACGTTTCGTTTTTTCAAAGTTCAAAGTCCGGCGAGCCTTGTCGCGGGCCCGCCGGCCGTGAAACGACAAACGGTCCGGCCGACTGCGAACACGGTGTCGCGCGATAAACACGATCGAACGGTCCATCCCGGGGCCGGCGGACGGACGCTGCGACGCGGACCGCTCGATGCGCACACACGCGTACGGGCGTACGGGTCGCCCGTGCGCCCGTTACGCTACGGCCGTCCGCGTTATCCGGGAATCCGGAACGCCCGCGGCGGGAAAACGAGAGCACCGAAAGAGAAAACGATCGCGGTTCCGTTCCGTTTCGTTTTTTTTTTTTTTTTTTGTAATCGACGACAAAACACGTCCGCCCGTCGTCCGTCCGACTCGTCGCGGAACGATTTACCCGACTCGCGTATCATGCAGGCGCGTCCGTACGCGCACGTCCGCCTTCCGGGCCCCGTATCGCCCCGGTCGCATAAATATTGTCGCGGGCGCCCCGCGATATCGATATATGGGCGGGGGGCGGGGAGGGAAATATCCCGTAGTCCGACGACGTATAACGTTTTAACGCGAGCGTACGCAGGCAACAGTATACGGGCCGGCGTGTTGCAAGCAACGGCCGCGCGGGCGTGCGCGCGGGTTTTTCTCCTCTTTACCCCCCCCCCCCCTCTACCGCGGTGTACGGTCGACCGGTGCGGCGACGGCCACCGCGGGAGTGCCGGAAGACGACGGACGGGCCACGCGTATGAATAAAACATCTCGCGAGAATGGGGGTAGGTTTTTACGGCGCACGCCGTCGGCGGCGCGCGCGTCATGCGGGAGCCGGTAATTTCAGGTGCGCGGGCAATTACCGCGGCGGCGTCCGCCGCATGTCAAACGGCGTCTCGCGCTGTCGCGGCGGCCGGCGCGGCGAACGACGAGCCGACGGCCCGTACGGTCGTAGACGACGTCCGGTCGCGGTCGCGGCGCGTACAATTCGTTTATTCGGAAAGACGGGGGAGAAACGAAGAAAATAAAACGTAATATCCGATATCCAGGCTCTTAGGAAACCCACGTCGCTTGACGATCGGGGGGGGAAACAATATTAAAAAGTCGCAATCGTACAACAGTGTCTACGACCGCGGCCGCACCGATATCGCGTGCGTGCGTATTGATAATTGGGCGGGCGCAACAATGTGCCGTACCGGCACAAATGTTACCGAGGGAAAATCGAGAACGCGTCAACGTTCGCGACCGTCGCGACGGCAAAACGACGGCGGTGAAATATTTGCGTTCAACGCGCGCGCCCGTTCGTTTCCCGAGATTCGTCGCCGCCGCGGGACGGTCCATAACGCAATACGGTAATAACGTAACGATACGCGCAACGCGGTATACGTCGTGATTTTAATATCGGTCCGCTAGTCATATCATAATGTAATGCCATACAACGTTAACGTTATCTACGCTACATTTTATTATAGCGGACGCCGTTTTATTTTGTCAGTTTATCAGTCAATTTAGATCGATAGGAAATAGTACGCATTGCAATATCAAATATTTCATATAATAATAATAAGACGTGATAACGAGAACCGGACGACACCGCTCCACTATTTTCCCCTTTATTTCTCATGAAAGACCGCCGCGGATTCATTCGGCCACCGGATCCAGCGTGGGCCGCTCCGTCATCATTTCCGTCTTCCCGCGAGTGCGTGTCGTTCCGGCTTCTAACATTCCGACATCATCATTTTCAATTAAATCGAGTGTTTATTTTATCATTCCCACTACCTATTCTCATCGACATAATAAATAAATATAATTATACCCGTATTCAAAATCAACATTGTTGCCGAGGATATTCCGTTCGGGATAGCTAAGTATATTATCGTTACCCTTCGCGGTTTTTATTTTATGTTAACTGTTTCCTACCGTCATAGGCTGCAATGAGTAATCCTAAGCGATTAGCAGGTATACGTTCGGTCGCTTTGTACCCCGTTATTCACTTTATGGCAGGTACGCTATACCCGTGGCGGTTAATGGCGTACAGTTGTTGTTTTTTTTTTCTTCAACGAATCAAATATATTTCGGTATCGTTGCGGCGTAATAATGTGTCGCGAAACTAATGCGCTAAAAAAATACTTCGAATAATATATTACGTACCGTTATGAGTTGGCACCGGCATGAGTCTCGCTAAACAACGGACATTTATCGCGAACGGCATAACGTTAATTCTCTACGTTTCGCTGCGGGATTTTAAGAACTCGGTGTTGGCAAACGATTTTCCCCCGACAGACCGGAAACACGCCGGTGCCGGTGCCGGTATGTTTCGGCCGCGGGAGAAACGTCGTCATCGTGTTTGTTTCGGGTCTGTAGGAAACGCCGGCCGGTATAGCGAATTTTGAAAATCCCCTAGCACAGTGTTGGCGGCGCCATCATTGAAGTTTCAGCGAAGTGTGCCGAATTGACGGACATGATTAAAATATACCGACAAGGAAACTCGAAATGCACCAATTTAAAAAAAAAAAAAAAAAAATCGCCAAAATGCAGTAAATATTTTACCCCAATAACGTACAGTATATTTAACAAAAACATCTATATAGATGTATAATAATAAAAACAATTTGTTAAAAAGGTAAAAAAAGATTTAAAAAAAAAAAATAATAATAATATAGTTTCAAACTTGAGTCTATCGTTTGTGTGCGGTGTTTTATACGTAATTCAGATTATTTTGTACGGTAGAAAATGTATAAAAGAAAAAAAAAAAACGTACAAAATAAATTACTTAAAAAGGCACGCAGCCTTTAATCGTCCGCCACCCACTCACAAAACTGTACACCTATTAATAGACATGAATCATAAAGCAATTTTCCTAGGAGTAAATGTTAACGTCCGAAAATTATATAGGTACTTGAATATATGTAGTCTCAATTTGTTAATTCGCATTAAATTGTTACGCGTATGATTTGATATTCCTTATAACTCAGTAAATAACACACACACACACACACACACACACACACACACACACACAAATAGACAATTTTAAACATTTAAATATACGTATAACTTTAATAACGTATAATTAACAATTATCTATGTGAATTCGTGTCGTATCGTATGCTGTTTTTACGCGATGGAAATAATTGTACGAACGCTCGCCGTTCGCAAATGTATTATCTAATAAGGATGTTCAATTTAAAAAAATAATACGGTCAGATAATATTATACAAAAACACCGGCAGAGCGTTAGGTACTTCTTTAATAAAAATTTAGCATCGTCGTCCTGTTCTACACCTAATCATAAACCGTGTCTCAAGGGTATTTTCGAAAACAGTACACCTATAAACAGTTTAAACGAGTTACACGTAAATCGGTTAGTAAAAATCTTGGAATTTTTATACTTTTTTTTTTTTTTCTCCTATACTTCTCCCGAAACGTAGGCGGATTCCTCCGGGCTGTTCGGAACGTCCGGAAATAATTTGTGAGCCACCGCGCCACTGTACACAACACAGCAACATATTATAATATGTACTCGTAGGTACACGCGCAAGCCTCGGGATAGTCATCTATCTACGTTCTTGTTTTTGAATTTAAAATTATATCGACTGTATTTTATTTAGGATTCACGTATACATGCGTATATACCGTAGGTATACCGCGAGTACTCGTGCGTAATCCGCATGAATCGTACTGGAAACGTTTGATGTTACAAAATTACTGCAAAAGTCATCGGTTTATCTGAGGGGGTGGGGGGAGGGGACGGTGCATACGATGCTGCGATAAAGACGATAAAACGTAAAAAAAAAAAAAAAATATCACGAACAGTGATAGAATATATCATCTAAACACAGTATTATGATATCGATAACATATAAATATATATACGAGAACGAATGCGACTTCGTCACGATGTGGGCGATAATATTATCATGTATTTAAACGTTTAATCCCGTCAAATTATTGTTATTGTCTTCTTTTTTTTTTTTTATAAACGTTTTCTAAATTGCTTATTAAAAAAAAAAAAAAAAATGTATAAATATATCTTGCCCATAGTCAACGGATATTACCATATTGATCGAACGATTCGAATAAATAATCCCCATATAACAAATACACCATCGTAATATTGAACCTTGAACGTGTCCCCATCGATCAGTTTTTGTTTTTATTTTTTCAATTTTATTACGTTGAAATTCAAAGTCTAATACGAACCAAATAATAACAAAAATGCTGTATAATATTATCATAGAATAAAATAATAAATTAAAACCAACATTTTTGAACAGGATTGAATATTTAAACATGAAATTAATGAATACCAATATGAAAATCTACTTCAATAAAACTTGTGAAAAATTGAAAATCGTTCCAAAATACATCAATATACATATCAAATGCACATCTGAAGATGCAATCAAAGCCAAGAAAGGAGTAGAGACACTATGGTTGAATTCTGAAATAAAATTAGTGTTCAGCAAGAAACGCGTAATAGTAGTTGATATTAATAATTTAGAAACAATTTTATCCTAAAATTTAAACCACTTGCAGATTTCACACTTTAAAATTACATCCAACAAAAATTACTTCACAAGAAAAATGAAAAATGGCGTAAGGTAAGAGATACAATTAATACTTTATTAGCACAAAATACACAGAAAATACAATTTAAAAAGCAGCTTTCTTTTCAGCCACGAGTTACTAATTTAACTTTCATAATTTTCAATAAAGCTGAAAACAATTTATTAAATAAAAGTAATAAATTCAATACATACCAAACATAAAACTTTCAATCGAATAAAAAACAATTAATACAATGTGAATCTGTTATGAATTATATACAATTTCAAAGTCAAAATCAAACAAAATATAACTTAATAAAAAGTACAAAAATAAGCATGATACAATATTAAAACAAAATAGTATAGTTAAATGACAAAATACAATTATTAACAACATAGCGAATTAATTAAAAACAAATAATTCAAAAATAGTTCCGGTAGATAAATCCAATGCTATTGATATTATTTATACCAATGAAATTCTTAAAAAAAAAACTTTATATTTTATAAATAAAAATATTCATAACTTAACATATGACTCAACTATAATTTACAATAAACGAATTAGAAAAATAGAAAATTTAAAATAAGGTATAAATAACACATTTCGAAAAGGAAATTAAAAAAAGACTGTCCCTAATTCAAATTTCGCTAAACATGTTTTAGAAAATAACTATAATATAAATTTTGATATTAATACAGACTTAGAAATATTAAATAACATTTACATTAATTCAGTTTTAGAAGAATTGCACATACACGATGAAATAAAGAAAATAATTGTAATAATATTTTTAATGTTCAAACAGATTTTGAAAATAATATCTCACATCAATATATTTTAGATGATAAGTAATAACCAAATAATTTATATTCCTTAACATATCTACGTCTAATAATGACTAATTTTAAATAATCTCACTCCTATTAAAATAAATTATTTCTATATTCAATGTAAAACAGCCGATTTGTAAATTGTATTTCCCATGTATTATTCCTTCATTTAATTTTTTTTTTATATTCACTCGCGTTTTACATTTTGACTATGATACACCTGATGATGGATTTTCAATTCGAAACCGGTCGTACAATACACTTATCATAATACTCCAGGCGACTCATCGATTCATTTATTTATTTTATTTTTATTTATATATTTATTTACCATATCTGTATACTTTATATATTATTATCCGTTGAAGTGTATCATCTCGTACATCATAATCAAATAACAAACCCGAGCAGGTATATACGATGTTATGCACACTGCACTCGCGGTAATTATTAATGTATTCATTTAAAATCTATATTTAAGTATGTAATATGAATAATCGATTGCGTATCGATAATATTATTATAAAAAAAATAAAATAAAATAACCGTTGGAATGTTTCCTGACGCTGCACTGATACAAAGTTCCCGTATTATATTCGTAGGTGTACAAATCGCGGTCCGTATATTATAAGCGTACATTAAACAGTGAAACTAAAATACGGGTGAAAGACCTTATAGTTGCAAAAAAAAAAAAAATTCAAAATAAAACAAAACTCGTTGATAATAGTTTGCCTATAAGGTTATAAAGCTGCGGTCGACGTGTAACTTTTGCAGTTCAAAAACAGACGAGTTCCTTTTCCGCGCAAAAATCGTGCTATAGGCATCGTATTACGATAATTACCGAAACGGCCATTCCTTTTACTGCGCGACTCGCGTTAAAATAATATAGTGAAAAGGTCGAATTTTCTACTTGGGCAAACGGCGAAGACATTGTATCACATTTCGTCCGAATAAAAGTCGCGCTTGTCGTCGACGGTTTTAATTGTATCACGAGACCGCCCCGAAGAAAGTGAAAGTTATAAATATTACGTTCATTATTGTACGCCCTCTCTCGAAGTCTCGCGTTTTAGAAGGTCTTATGATATCGTTTTCGGCATACACCGCGACGAACATACGATTTTTTGTATGTTTACAATATTTGTTTGTTAGACGCAAATTGACACATGTGTTTTAATTTACAGGTAGGTACCTACAGTAGCGAAAAGAATCTCCAATAACCCAGTTTAAGCTTGATATACCCATCCATCAATATTTCCCATTACATCTCAATTTAGCCGTCTATTTTTATTTTTATTTTTCTTTAGGTAGTACATAGTAAACGAGTACTGATATTTAGTTATTTTTAAATCGAGCATTCGCCCACCTCTAAAATCATAAAAAAAATATCGAAAAGCAATCGCTAGTAAAATACCGTCACTGAGTACCTCCGGGTACGTGCTTCGGATAGCAAAAACTGTATACTGAACGACCATTGGGGAACCACAAAACAGCCCCCTACATTTAATAGAAATTTGGAAAATATCATAGAAAATTACGATGTTTGTATACAATGTTAGAATATAAACTGATAACGATGGTTTATATTTTATAATTTGTTTTCAATTGAAAAAATTAACAATGACGCCTTTGATTTCTAATGGAATTTGGAGTTCTTCTCCCCTCTCTGAATGTGCCCGTGGGAGCTGTTGAATATGAGTATAATATCTTAGACACTTTTGTATTCTTTTTCGTTTCACGGACAAATATAATTGAGATACAAATGAGTTGTTTTTTCGTTTTGTAAAAATTGAAAAAAAAATTATAGTAAGCAATCAATAATTTATATCTGCACCTATACAATGCATTTTCCTATAAACAACTATTGAAGTATTTTTAGCAATATTTCTAAATTGATATTTATTTAACGGTGATCAAGCGTATCCTGTTTCTGGAACGGTGCAATGCAATTATGTAAAGGTAGCCATACGAAAATAATACCCGTACGCGTACCTAATATATACACTGCAGTGTTGAATCCACGTGCGTACGCGGGGGCGATCGATACCTCTCGTCCCAGGAATTTCATTCGCCCCCGCAACAAATTACGACTGTCGACGCAATGAGTTCATTAAATGTTTTAATAGCAGTTGAGTTTTACGCGGAAACGACGGATGAAAAAAATCGACGTACAAATAATTATTGCCAAAAAAGAAATAAGCAACACGGCTGTGATTCTGTTTTTGCATGAACATTGTTTGGAAAAAAAGCTGTTCTAGGGTAATGGGCACGGACGCAGTCACTGTTGTGGACGGGAAGTTTGGAAGATTGGATTTAGACGGGAATTCAATGCAGGCATTCTGTAAACAACGATTAATAAAAAAAAAAAAATCAAAAAGTTACGTCCTTAAAGCATCTCCCCGATCAGATTTCCTTTTAGATAAAGTGCCTATCATTGTAAATCGGAGCGAAATTGATGGTAGACAATTTGTCCACAGAAAAAATAAATAAATAAACATCATTGTAAAACCATAAGCTCCACTTAGAATAATTACAGCCCAATAGAAAATATTATCCTCTGCAAATATGTTTAGCTCGCGTTTTAAGCTCATTTAACTACAACGACGAAAAATCGGCATAGAGAAATCTCACTCTACAGTGACGAAGCTTTGCGGGTCACGGGGATTTATCATTTCTCAAAGACGAGAACAAAAACAACGCGAACAACTTAAAATCAGATAAAACCACTGACTATGTGTATTTACGATCTAATAATATTATACGCACGTAACAAACTTTTTAAAAACACGGATAAATAATTCGGTGTCTGATGGTAGTGCCCGCACCGGTCAGTAGCGTAATTAATCGTCTCGACTATTATTAAAAACGACGAACTCTGCAACAGCGTCGGAGCGTATGCGATTTTTTTTTTTTTTTATTATTATTATTCACAAGACTGCGGCGTACATGTTTTACACCGTACTTCCCTCCCTCTCTCACCCACCCATTCGTATATTATACTTTATTATTATAAAAGACCTGTGCTGAAGAAAAAATTAAAACGAAAAAAAAAACCCAAAATATTCGCACAATTTAACGCGCGTAAAGGTCTAGACGAATTTTATTATACACGAGCTACGGAGCAAATTAAATTCCTGAAAACCGTATAGATAATACGAGTAGATATATTGTGGAAAATCGCATCGCGCGCGATGGAATTAAATATTAATATGTTTGTGTCGCGAAAAAAACAAGTGGGTAACGTGTGGAAATCCGCCGGCGCGATAGTGTTCGTACATAAAAATGAGTAAATTATGTAGGCAGGTTGTGTAGACCTAATACCGTATATGACTGCAGGGATGGCCAGCGGTATGAGAGTCGCGAGCCACACGATATAATGAAAAGTACGTAGCAGGGAAAACAGGCTCCGGATTATCGTAAATAAGATAAGACATCAAATTTAGACGTATAAACAATCATCCGAAATAAACCTAAGATAGCTATTTTTGTACGTTATGTGACTATAGACATGGAAGTGAAAGAAGCATTGTTAGACCTTGTAACTCTCAGAGAATATACTCGATCACTGAAAAAATAGGTCAAAGTGTTAACGAAATGGTTTTGTTAGATGACAAATAGTAATCACGATCAACAACTAATATTACCTCTACAGTAAATACAATTAATTCTCGCACAGTTGTTTATTGAAACTGCAGTACTTGTCGAATCCAATTAAAAATCACATTGGGTAGAAGATTTTTTTGTTTTATTTTCGTATTCGTTATTCGTTTTTGTATACTCCCTACAACGTAAAAATACGTAACATACATAGACATTATATTTTTTATAAAATTACAATACGTGGTTACATGGGTGTTTTTTATTTTTAGATCAAGTTCCTAAGTGGAAAAATATACGAAAATTAAACACAGGCATCTCTAGTACGTGTAAAAGTAAAAAACATCGAAGATACTTCGCACGGTGGGCGAATATACTCGGTCGTAACGTGCTATATCACAACGTCCTCTTCCCCCCATTGAACAATTATCCAAGACTAAACATTATGTTTACCCTGGCCGTCTATAATTTAAAAAGTTGAATTTAAGTGTTTTTAAAAAATTAACTAAATATTAGGTGTACCTGTAAATAAAAATAACAAGT